TGCGTACCGAACCGAAAGACCCGTACCGAAACGGTTCGGTACGAATACGTGTACCGTTACACCCCTAATATATACACATAATAAATATACACAGTACACACACATATTATGTAAACAAAAACGTTTATTTTGGATTAATCACGATTAATCGTTTGACAGCACTAATATTGACCTTAATGCACAGTCGGATGAGTCTACTCAGATTTGGTTTTTCAAATAATAATAAAGCACTGGGGCTGCACGACAAAAATCATAATTGTCGATTATTCCCTTGAAATTGTAATTGCGATTATTAATTACGATTATCACAATTTACATTGAATGATGTTTATACCATTGTTTGGTGCAACTGCATGCCGTATTTTTATATGAAAATAAACAAGCTGAAAACACTCGAACTGAAAAACTTTTAGTGCTTTTCTATAGTATTAAGCCTCAAATGTCAAATATACATCGGATTGGTTTATTATTAAATTATTAAACTATAAAAAAAGTAAAAATATGAATGGTAATTTAATGTTATACTAAAACTAAAACAATGGAAAAACCCTTAAGATAACATGTAGAAAGAAAAAAACATATCTTAAGCGTGCAGAATAACATAACTGAATGATTAATTGCCGCTTTGAACGATTACGTAATTGTGGCATACATAATTGTAATCGCGATTAGAAATTTGATTAGTTGTGCAGCCCTATAAAGCACTTTTGTTTTTGTAAAAAATAAAAACAACATTTTTCTTCTTTAGGATATCAGGACAACACCATGATCCCCAAAATATTAAAATTAATTAAAAACAAAAATGAAAAACAAGATCATCATAAAATAGATGTATTTGAGTAATTGTGTGTATGAATTGCATTTTAATTGTATTTTTTAATAAACTGCACTGCAAAAAAAAAAACAATATAAATGAATACTAGCTGCCCTGTTCAACCAAAAAAAAATAGTTGCAAAAGAAACAAAAATAAAAGAAGCTTTTAACAAAGCAAATGGACTGAATGAAAAAAAAAATGCTAGCGAGGGCAAAAAGTATCAGACTTCAACATATTGGACGATAAGCACAATTGGATTTTGGAGAGCGACACTTGCGAGATATAGTAGTCTGAAATAAGAGACAGATCTGGTCGGATATCTTAAGACTGACTCATGTTTCCTCCCACTCTCAATGTACAGAGAACATATCTCCAGCAGCTACAAGATGTATGACCTTGCAGTCTTTAATTTGCACCGTGCTCTACACAACCTTAAGGAGTGGGTGGCCAACTCAACACAAGCAGCGCGCATGAAACTTGACCACACTGTTCTGGCTCTGGCACGTTGGGTTTGTTACAAGGTTTTCCTGTGCTATTCTCTGACCAAAGCGCCGATCAGTGTAGCACATGTTGGCCTGTGTCAGCATTGCGCTTAAACACACTATAAGAGGAGAAACGGCAAGAGAGAATCCCTGGAGATCATGATGTAAACTCTATTTTTATATTTCTTAAGCAAATCTGAGCGTTGTTTGCCTGTGCACGGTGTTGTGAGCCATTGCCATGTGGTTCCTAAGGTGTTCTGAATATGTTGCTATGCAGTTGATAAGGTTGTTAGGTGGTTGCTTTAGTCTGCATTAGAGCTGCACAATAAATCAGCCAATATATTTTTCGGTCAATATTGTATTTTGTTATAAATTATATAATAATAATAATAATAATAATAATAAAATACATATTGAAAATAAATACGGTCAGAATAATGAAGAAATGTTTTAATGAATACAAAATAGCTAAATATTGCTAAAATAATAATGAAAAACAATAATTTAGTAATACTGAAAAACAAAGATGAAATCATTAAAATATTGTTGAAATATCAAAAAAAAACTAAAACATAAGCTACTATATCAAAAATTAAATGAGGTGAAGACAAAACAAATCATTTTTAATAATTTAGTATATTATTTCTTTATTTAGACAAAATATTATAACATTTTAATAGAAGCCATTTATTGGTTATGAGAGCAGGTTATGGGAGTTGTTATTAGTATAATTACCTAAAACTAAAAAGTTAACTATTAAAAACATTTTTGT